ACCGCACAGGCAAAAAACACCATGCCAGAAATCGGGAAGGAAGAGCTGTGATTGGAATCAAGGAAGTCTGGCTCCAGAGCATATGCCTTTGCCACTCAGCAGACAGCCTGGCTTTGCACACTGAGAAGGTGAAAACAACAGGCCACCCATCAGGCCCATGTGGAGGCACAGCGCCCTGGAGGAAATGTTCAGGACCTCTTTTGCTGAGTGTTGTGCCAAGAGCTCCCAGGAAACGCAGAAATTCTGGGGTCATGGCTGTGTGGGGAAAGCCCAAGGCTGTGGTGAGGCCTTGCCCACCCCCTTCAGGCCCCTTCCCACTCGCTTTCCTTTTGCTCACAGACACTTGTGTAGTTTTGTGCAAACCTTTAGCTGTTTCACATTCGTGCTCTCCCTTTTTGTGTTGGGCCTTGATTCCATTTAAAAAACACTTCCACACACCAACTGGCAAAGCCAGAGAGAGCCCCCAGAGAGAGGATATCTGTTTGTTAACATCCTGAACTTGGAGGGCTTACATTTTGGTCTCCAGGACAGGGTTTTTCCTAGTCATTCAGTGTGGGTGCCTCAGCACATGGGAAATTTTTGCATAATGTGTAGTTCTGGCCTACCCTGACACGACAAACAGGTTAAAGATGACTTGTGGGATATGTTCCTAATCCCTCCGTGGTGGGTGGGGAGAGCACGGGGGAGTAGGCTTTTTGGGGTGTTGGATGGAGGAAGGAGAGCTGCCCACAGACAGTGCCAGGAACTCCCAGATCTGCCTGGGCTGGCCCAGCTGCACGCTGGACGGGGCGAACTGCATCGCATTCAGGCTACTAGGATGTTAGTATTTTTCAATGCTCAGGTGATTTTTTTTCCATGAATAACCCGGAAGTAGCCTGCCGGGCGAAGCAGGAGTGTTTAGGGAATGTGGGATGAAGCCGAATCACATTGCCATCACCTTACACTGGCCAGGACTCTCCCAACCCTCTTTAATACACGGAGAGCAGCACCAACGCCCTGAGGTATAAAGTGTGCGTGCCTGCCGTGCACGTGCATGTGCCTGCCGTGCGCGGACGCAGAGGAGTAGGCTGTAGTGAGTGGGGCTGTCGATTCCCTTTCTGAGCCTCTTTTCCTGCAGGCTTATGTTCTAGTTCTGTGAAGCAGAAACTGAGAAGGAAATCTGAAGCTGCCCAAGAACAAAGGAACCACCTCCGAAGGAACGGGGCTTAGCCTTTGATTCAGAAAATACCTGTTGCTGTCAGATTTATAAAGATGACACTTTCTAGGCAAAACCTGCAGGAGGCACCACTCAGACTGGGGACAGTGTCTCTGTGGCAGCTCTCTGCATCCTCCCTTGAGGCTTTGCAGCCCCTTTTTGTTAACCACTGTTCTCCCAATTCTGTACCTTTGAAATTCACACCAAAGGTAGGATCGGGACATAAATCTGGCAAATTCCCAGAAACTGCAGCAACCCAAGCAGCAGGAGCCCGAGGTTCTAGTTCTGGCTGTTGCTAACCCTCTGTGTGGCCTTAGGCAAGTCCTCCAACTTCTCTAGGCCTCAGTTTCTCCTCCTGGGTTGGAGCCTTTAACGGGTAAGGTCTCCAGCTGCAACCCTGTCCAGAGGCTTTTCAACTATGCATGTCTCAGCACTGATGAAATGAAGCAGCTCTGCACTCTTCAGGGGCAGAGTGGGAGCCAAGCCGTTTGGTTGCCTGAGTAGTCATTAGGAAGCCAGCTGCAAACTTGGATTCCCCTCAAGGACCACGGAGGAGCCCCACTGGCCGTGCCAGGAGAGCTTCTCTTTAAAACAAAGCTGTTACTTTCATGTTGCTGGCATCTGCTTTTGCTCTCAGGATAATTCAACCCTCGGGTGCCCTGGTGTGGATACTGCAGGGGAAGGGGCAGGGGTGGGGTCCGGGAGGCAGCAGGCAGGCCTCAGGTCCAGGTTCTTATTGGTTTAAGAGCCTTCACTCTCTCTAAGGTAATTTTCCCGACTTGCGCGCATCACAGGTTAATACCAGACCCATGCCTAATGATACATAATTTAAGACTTGTAAAAGCTGCCTGGGACTTGAAAGAAACACACTCTAAGCCAGGAAGGTTGTGCCCGGCATGCAAGAGCAAGTAACACAGGTGGAATTTATGTCCAAAGCAAGGGAGCCGCGCCCTTTTGACACGCTCTCAAAAGGTGCCATGCAGGAGTGTCGTGAGACCCGGGGCCCCGTGAGCAGCACCCCCACTTGCCCTTACTCCCTAACCACCATCGGAAGGCAGCTGTTCACAAAGGGAAATTCGTTATTTTTAATAGTCCCAGAAATATCTCATGGATTCGAAGTGACGCAACAAGATTGCCCTAATGGTTTCTAACCTTTGTTTTTAACACTTCTGGGGCCGGCACCCTATAGAACTGCTGCAGGGCACCCTTCTGCCTCCAGTAACCAAGCTGTCTGTTGGCATTGTTGGAGACTGACATAGCCCAGGCCGGGATGTTTAGCTGCTTGTGGGGTGGAAAAAAAAAATGTTAAGAAAAATAATTGTTGTTTTTGCAAACTATCTATTTAAAAACAGAACCTCAGGAAGCAGATTTCTGTTCCAATGCTAGGATGAATCAGAGCTCACAAAGTATAAATACACATTAGCAGGAGGAGGCTTCCCATAACCCAGTGCTTGTGTGTCTTCCCAGACCAGGAACCTCTGAACTCTTGCTTCTCATTCCCAGTAGAGGCAAGGAGCCGCAGCCGAGGCGGAAATGATAGAACATTGCCCAGCCCAAGTTGCAAGCTTCTGTAGGTCCGTAGGACCTTTTTACTCTTTAAAGGCAACTGGCCTTTAGCTACACACTGGCTCACCTTTGGCTAGATAGGTGTACACCGTTGAGGAAGGTGGGAAACCCATGCTCTTGTTCCTTGGGCTCTTGGGCATCCAAGAACTCTTACCAGATAAGTTAACTTTGACTCACTGACCCCTCAGATCAGCCAATAAACATGAAGCACTTAGACCACAACTTGCTCAAGGGCCAGTATAATTATTTTACTTAAAAATGATGTCAGGTGGCAATTTAGCAACAAACTGGCTTGCAGGCTACTTAATTCAGTTTAACAAGGAAGAAAAACATTGTAATTAATGAAGAGCTTATACTTTAGTACTTTAGTAGAGTTGTTCTTAAATTTTACTATACATAAGCCAGAGAGGAAGGGGAGGGAGGGGAGAGAGCTTGTTGAAAATACAGATTACCTGGCCTTGGACTCTTGGACTGGGCCTGGGAATCTGCATGGAGAGACACCTGCTTCCAAGTTACGCTTCTGAGTGTTGCCCAGTCTCACTGGACTTGTCATCAATTAAAATAGAGCCACCCACCCCCTTTTCTGATTTTACATTGTCTAAGTCTGGAATCTCAGCACAGTCAGCTTGAAGTTAATTCCTTACTGGAATTTTGTGGTATGGTCTAATGCTAGGGTTCGAGTTGGTCAAATTTCTGGACTAAAAATTCTTTCTCTTCCAGGGTCTGCTTAAAGAGGGCCCAGGACATTGATGGGGAATAGGAAAGGTATGGAGTCCCTTCTTTTCCACCTCGTCCCTGAGATAACCAGGGCTTCCTTGCCTGATTACCTCTACCTGGAGAAGGGGAAAAACTGCCCTTTACAATTCAGGGCCTGGCTTTGAGCCATGCCCAGAGGAGCCTGATCTCTGCCTTCTCACTACTGAGAAGACTTCTTAAAATAACAAATGTGAACCTCAAGATCACTTCCCTCCTGGAATAAAGAATTGCAGAGGCTCATTAAACTTTTTTTTCTCTTGGCACAAAAGCACTTGGCAACTACCCAAGGAATTCTGGGGTCCTGAAGAATCCAAGTTCACAAACCACCGGAGCAAGATATTGCTTCAGAAGGGTGTTTGAGTTGAGCACTGCTAAATCGGACGGTGTCCTGGCTCACTGGGTCTGTACCGGAACACTTCTCCCTCCCTGTCACCCCACCTTGCAGAAACCAGCTGTCCACCGGCAGAGATTAGGGAAAGTACTGCTATACCAGAGCAGGGAGATGTCGTGAGAACCCAGACTCGCCGGTGTCCAGGTCCTCAGGGCTGCCTTCCCAGCAAGCCCAAACGGATTGCTCTGGATTCTGACTCCTCAGTGCTCTGCTCATGCACAGGAAGCTAGGGATATTTTTAAAGCCCACTGCCCCTTCTTAAACAGACGCCCATCAGAGAACATAGTTCCTAGCCTCGTAGAAGAAAACTTTCCCAAGGAAGAAAAAAACCTATGCAAACCAGAGGTGGGCAGATGGCCCGACTGTGCAGCGCTGGGGGACAGTTCCAGGGAAGGTAAGCTTTGGCTTGCTCATCAACAGGGAACTCCTGGCAGCTTCACACCGCTGCTGGAAGCCATCCATGTGCCCATCCCCGTGGCTCATCCCTGGCTACAGAGGTGCTAGAGGCAAAGCTTCCCCAACCCCACCTGTGATGTGGGGGCAGGGCCATTTTGGCCTCAGGCACAAGCACCGGAGGGAGAACCACAGTTCTCCTGTCCTAAGCAGGTGCTGATGTGTGGCCTCTGGAACCTCCTCAGAGGCCGGCTACCTGGCACCCACAGCTGCAATGGTGAGGCCACCCAAACATGGACTCCCTGGGCACAAGGTGATGAGTAGATGGCTCTAACCCCAGAAGCTTCTAACTACCACCTCCTGTGCAGCGAGGAAACCACTCTGGAGGTGGAAGTGTGCACAGAAGCCACAAGGGTGTGGTCCAGAATGATGGCAGAACATTAATATTAATCCAAGATCCAAGTAGCCGGGGGGGCTGGGCGGGGGGGGGGGGGGGGGGGGGAGATTGAAAGGACCGAATCTGCCTCTTCCTCCCCCAACACTAATTCCAAGCTTTTTAAAAACCCTTTTAGTGTGGTGGGCATTTCCCGTGAGTGCTCACAAACAATTCACCTCCACACTACAGGCCATTAATCCAGTGGTGTTTATTCAAGCAGTATTCACACTTGCTGTTGAATAACAAGGGAATCAATGCCCCCAAGATGGGGTGCTCTCACAGCTCTGGCTTCACAGCAGCCCATGGTTTTTTGAGAACTTCAGCTGAATTTGGTGGCTGAAAAGGCTTTCAGGTTTTCCTCCGTGCCCCTGTCAGGCGAGGCCTATTTAATAGCACACCCCGCTTACCAGAACAGACTCGGCGGGGTGGCAAAGAGCAAGACAGAGCCAAGCAAAACTACATAAGCTCAGAAGAGGCCACACTGTTCCGTCTTTCATACAAAAAATTTAATAAATAGTACTTTTCAAAATTTATTGCCAGGAACAACACATCAAAGATGCATTTTTATGTTCATAACACTAATAGGACAATACAAAGTATCTTCACGGTCTCAATGGTGAACCAACAAAATTAACTGTTTTGTAAGCCTTTTTGATCTTCAACTTTGTAATAACATTTTGATTTCCTCATTTAAGGCAGGCAGTGTACTCTATGGCAAATCTAAACAGTGATCTTACTGGACATTTTAAGGTTCAAGTATTCAACTAGCTTATAAGAATACTCCCTAAATGCAGTAGACAACAAAAAAATCAAATCTACAAGTGGTTCAGTATTACATACGAATGGTGAAAAGAAATCAGAATTTACAAAATAAGATTGTGTGAAGTTGGAAGCACACCAATTCGATATTTTTAATGATATTCAACCACTCACATTTTGGCTACGTAAAGTCGAAGCTCAAACTTGTTCCCTTAAACTGCTGTGTAGCCGATCACCTGCCTGTCTCTTTTCAAGTCTAAAGCAGACAAAAAAAAAAAAAAGGAACCTGCTGTTCTAGACTAATTTTCAAACTGCCTTAGTCAGTCCTTAAAACGTGTTTTAAAGTGATGCTACAGAAGGTGTTTTAAACATCTGACGTCGTACAAAAAAAAATTCCACCAGTATTCCAGGCACTGAAGCCCATCCTATTGTTTTAAACTATTTTCAAACACCTTAATTTTGGCTTATAGGCAACACGTAGTAAGAAAATAAGTTCAAAAAAAAAAAAAAAAGCCATACACTTACAATGCTATCAAAAACCTTCAACTCTAAACACGTACATATAAATAAAAAGGAATGATGTTTTAAGGCTCTTGATTATTAAGTTAATAAATCAAATATACACAGTGATTAATAAAAAAGAATTATTTACATAACTATACAAAATTCTACTTTTGACACATTTTTCCTCTTTAAATTCTTCATTTTACCAGCAACTGCTGACATCAAAGTCCCCCCTCCCCCAACAACAAAATACAATAAAAAAAAATAAATAATAAACTCATTTGTGATAGTTGCTGTGGTTCTGAGCTGCAAAGGCACTTTCAAATACAGAACTACTTGTACGTCATCATAAAACCAATATACACAAACAACTCAAGAGTCAATAAATATAAATAAAAACTATGATCCTAAGACTGCATCACCATCGGGACATCTGGCAGAAGTTGGGAGCTCAAGGCCCAGGGGTCAGGCGACCTCCGGGGAGCCTGGTCCGAGAGCTGGCGGCTGTGGGGGGACGTGTGCCGGGGCACTTTGGACTGGTTTTTTGCATAGCTGTGAGATGCAGCATTTGATTTCCCAGCCAACCACAGAAACTACCATTGCCAGTGTAAGCCAGCTTGTCAGAACTTAAATTAACACAGGGTTCTAAGTCAATGACAGCCTCAGCCTGGACTAGGACACAACAGCTGAAGAACTACAAGCCCCCAGCACCCTCAGACTCTACCTAGCGGCGGCAGCGCCCGCTGTCTGCTATACGATGTACTCCATCCGGTTTAAGCTCTGGGCACTTTCCAGGTCTCTGTTGTCCTGTTTGTTTGTCCAGTTTGGGTGTTTGGCTGGCGTGCCGTTGGGGGGCTTCTCCTCTCGGTCTACCAGCGTGTACGCCGGCTGTTTGGCAAACCGGGCTTTCTGCTGGTGCTTGTCCATGTCGTCCTCCTCTACCTCAGAGTTGTGTGTCCTGATTTTTGACATTTTGGAGTTTTTGTTCTCATAATCCTTGATGGGGACCGTGTTGGCCCCGTGCTTCTCGATGGGGTTTTTGATCTGGTTCAGCTGCTCCCGCACGTTGTTGGTGGTGTTGTCCTCGGAGGCCGAGTGAGCGTGGCTGCTGGGCTTCCGCCGCTTCCGCACACACCAGTAGAAGGCCGTCACCAGGCAACAGATCCAAGCCACAGTTAAGACGGAGCTCAGCAGAGGAACCAGGAAATCTGTAAGGCGGGCACGAAACCAATTAACTCTCAAAAAAAAAAAAAAAAAAAAAAAGCCATTACACGAACAAAAGAATACCAGCAGTGGTGTGCTCCTGCCCGTAATTCCTAAAAGGGGTGCCATGGGGACAAGTCCCTTTTCACAACCCCATATTGTCACTTCACAGCGTGATAAGTACAGAACCGGGGCCCTTGGGGACCCTGACACCTCTGTCCCCAGAGACCAGGCGCAGCAGCTGCTCCTCAAGGCTCCTGGCTCCTCGGGCAGCAGCTCATTCGAGGATCTGGTTTTCAGCATTACAGGCGACCCGATCTGAGCATGCATAGCTCAAATGTCCCATATTCTCGCCTAGCTAGAACAACGGTGGTCAAAAGGGGAGTGTGGATGTCCTGCAGGGCCATCAGGCTGCCTATCCAACACGTGTCTCCCGGTGCTTAGGCCGGGCTGTCCCACGACACCGGAATGCCACAGCAGGATATGCCCGGCCATGAGCTCAAGGTGCAGCAGTGCTCTGCCCTAGGGCTTTGCAGTGGATCTAGAGACAGTGCATGTTCTACAGGGATGCCAGCTTCTGAGAGCACAGCTTGGCACCAGGGAAAAAAGGTACCTCTACCCATCATCATAGGACCTTGCACATGGCAGCTGGCCTGTTTTTTCACCAGTCAAATGGTGGGGCAGCTGGAGAGGGGGGAGGGCGGGGGTGGTCCTCAAGAGGAGAAACTGTCAGCTAATGCCCCACCTGTTGGATGGTGAGCTGAGATCGGATAGTCCTCCCTCAAGGGGACTGTCCCCACTTGCCACCTACCCGTTCTGTTCTTCAGAGGCCGCCTTTGCACTCGCACTTCGGCCACGGCAGCGATAAGCGAGCTATTCCCATCACGTTTACTAACGAGATCTATGATTTTGTCAGTGATCTCCTTGATAGGGTTTCCATCATCCCGTATGTCTTCAGCAGACTGGAAAAAGGAGAACGGTCAGATGCAGGGGCCGGGCGACACTCTCCACAGTAGCCGTTCCTGAAAGTTACTGAACGCATGTGCCAAGCTTGGTTTCAGCGTCCTCACTCTATTTGGATAGTGGCTAACTGAAGTTTGTGAACCACCCGGCAATCATGTAATGGAGTGTGACTGGGCCTCATACTTACAATGGCCACGTGTATTTCATTGTTCGCAGAAGGGGAAGGCTCACAAGCTATGTAGATTGAATATTCAGCAGAAACATTCTTTAAAATATTCAAATTCCTCAATTCACTGCAAATATGCTCCGTGGTGAGACCCTAGAATCACATTTAAAAACCACACATGTAAGATACTGGAAGAAGGGTGAGGGGGGGAAAAGCTGATGTTTCCTTGGATGTTAGAACTTAAGCTAAGGAGAACAAGATCCTAGCTGGGGATGCTCCGGCTTTGGAACAAGCAGACACACACTGCCATTCATTCCAAACTAAAAAAGATGTTGTTCCGTACCGGTGACATCATCTCCTTGTTGAAGGTGAACGTGATGTTGGCACAATTCTCCTGGTAGTAGGGGTCAGAGGTACACTTGGTCTTCACGGGCTGGAGACTGGAAGACCGACACTCGCCCACACCCGTGCAGGGGCGGACGAAGCACTGGGCATCCAGGATCGGGATGCAGCTCTGCCCGCTGGGGCACTCGCTGTGCCCTTTGTGGAGCAGGCAAGGTCGAGGGCCACACCATACCTGGAGAGGTAGAGGGGAATGGAGCACACAGCTCAGGAGAAGCACCTGGCAGCAACTCCAGAATGCAGGTGAGCCGCGGAGGCCCTCCCGCTGTACCTTGGAGCAGGCGATCCTTCCATTGAAGCACCGGCAGGTGTTGCAGTCATCGTCCCACTTGGCCCCGTCCGGTATCACACTCCCCATAGTGATACAAGGTCTCCCTGAAACTGAAAGGTAGGATGCCTGAGTGGAAGGGGTTTCCTTTTCTATAGACCACTCTCTCTTCTTCACTCCCTCTGGGAGTTAGGGAAGGATTATACCCCTGCCCTGTGCCATGGGACAACAGGTCTCCTTCCCTCACCTGCTACCTTTGCACGTGGCCACATGACCACCTGGCTGGGCCAGTGCAGCCTTTGGGGAGGTGATGGGAGCAGAGTCTCTCACAGTTGGGCTTGGCCTCTTGCAAGCCTGCCATTTGCCAGATACGGCTGCTGGTCCAAGGAGAGTGAGGAAGCACACAGAACAGACCAGAGCCCAGCCTGCAGCACATTCTCACTCTGCCCGCCCTGCATGCCCACAAGCAAGACAAATCAATGCCTGCTCTAAGCCACGTTTTGGGATGGTATGTCACACAGCAACACTGCCCAAGAGTTGGACTGAAAACCGCTTCCCTCTTTGTAGGGGACCCCTTCAATTTCCCCAGTCCCCGTGGCCCCCTCTGCATATCCCCTCCATGTTCTCTCCCTTAGCACAGTGCCCACTCAGGATCAAAGGGTAACTGTAGTGCCTGCTCACCCCATAAGACCCATTAGCAGCTGCAGCCTAACCCACATACCTTCCTGGCACTTGGCACCGCTGTGCCCTGGGGGACAGACGCACCGGTAGCCATTAATCTCATCCACACAGGTTGCCCCAAAGGCACATGGGGAGGACTGGCATTCATTGATGTCTAGGGAAAATGGAGATCAAGTTTAGGCTCGGTGGGAAGCAATGATGTTTCTTCTAAGTTTTTACTCACCTCATGTAAGCCAGAAAAGCATACAAACGGTAAGCATAAGCTTGATGAATTATGTAACCAGCACCCAAATAAAGGTACCGATCAGTACCCCAAAAACCCCTAGTCACTGCCCCCACCAATCATCATTAGCCTGACTTTTGAGGAGCTGAGAGTCAGTTCAGGAGGCAGCAATATTTGATTAAATAGGCTCCTTTTTATCAGATAGTACAACTTAGAACAAGGGCTGGCAAAGTTCTTGGAAAGGGTCAAATATTTTAACCTTTGCGGGCCATGTGGGCTTTGTCATGACTATGGAACTCTGTTGTAGCATGAAAGCAGCTTTAGACAGTACATAAAGGAGTAGCTGTGTGCCAATAAAACTTTATTTACAAAAAGAGGCAGTGGGCCAAGGCAACAGCTTGCCAACACAATTTAGAAACATGGAATAGACCAAATCTACCCCAACTTAGTGCTGAAGACCAGTCAGTCCCAGACCTAGGGATCTCAAGCACTAGTAAAATTTCAAATAACTTGGGGATAAGAACAACAACAAATACAGCTATCACTTACCCCCCTCAAACTAAAGGGCATATAAAAAAAAGTAGGAAAAGGCTCAAAATAAAGACATTAAGCACCCTGAAAAACGATATTGCATGTCTCCTGTTTTAATCATTTCACCAAGGCCTGATCAAACCTTTGGAAACCACAACCCATCCTATCCACTGCCGTTAGCTCTGTTTTCTGTGGCTAATGTCCACTTGCCCATAATTCCAGGGCAGTCATGGGGAAAAGCATGGTTTCCTTGGGGCCTCAGAATTAGATTAATCATCCAATTCTGTGGCTGGTACTCCCTCCCCTAGAAGAGGGCTGGCTGTGCCACCGGGGGAAGGACCAGCAGGTACCTGGGAGGTTCCAGCCAGGGCTGTTTTCAGCCCAGCTGAAAACGGGGTGGGAGGTTATGTGCCTCTCAGGGCTAAAGGGATCAGTGACCTTAACCATTTTCAAGATGAAAAAGTGTCAGAGTTGGGGGAAAGAATACCACTGGCGAAACCAAATCAGGCTGATCCTTACTTATTCTGCAATCAGGTCCAGCAAAGCCGGGGGCACACTCACACCGGTACCAGTTGTCCCCATCCACGCACGTGCCACTGTTGTAACTAAGAAGAAAGCAAAGACTGCCTCAGTTACTGACCTCCCAATCCACGGATCCATGACTCCACAACTCCACCAGCCAGTTCACCACAGGGAGCCATGCCAGTTACGTTCGACGGCTCTCACCCCGACCGCAATCCCCATTGCCTGGGGCGCTTTAAAAATAATGGCGCCCGGGTCCCACCCCCAGAGTGTCTCAATCACAGGTCTCCGTTGCAGTCCAGGCACTGGGACTTCTAAAAGCTCCCCCAGTGATCCTCGTGCACAGCCCAGGTGGAGAATCACAGCTCGCAATGGCGACACAACCGGCTAATTAAAGTGTGGTCCATGGACCAGCATCACCTGGGCGCTTGTTCGGCAGGCAGGGTCTGCAGCCCCACCCAGAACTCCTGCAGCAGAACCTGTGTTCTAGACAAGATCCCTGGGAGATGCCCATGCACGCTGCGGCCAACAAGGGCTGGCTTCAAAGGTAGTCATGCTTACCAGGGATGAGGACTGCAGTCATTGGTATCTGCAAAGTAAAAAGACAACTTAATACACCAAGGCCTTCACCAGACAAAGCAGTTTTAACCCGAAGTAGAAACCCCCCTTATTTCCCTAATACCCATACGATAGAGCTGTAGTTTATACCAGCAAAAGGCACTGAAGGCTCTGTTCAATTGGAACCAGGCCCGCACCACCCGTTTGTTCCCTGTGCCGTGGGACACTACACAGGAAGAGGCCCCGCTCAGGGCGGGCAAGGGCTGTGAGAATGGAAGGAGACAGGCTGCTGGTCAGACCCACGCTGGGAACCGAGACACCATCTGTCTCCACTTATCTCCTCGGCGACTTTCTCATGCCCAGGTCAGGGCTGCAGTCCATCAAGTGCGTTAGAACAGACCCAGGTGATGCAGAAGCAGACATCAAACAGCTCTGCTTCTGGTTTCCATCGCCAGTCCCTGAGGCTGTCAGGCTGTGCTCCTGCAGCCCTCACAGAGTTCAAGGCGCGTGGGGCAGGGGGACACTCACTCTGAGTACAGATGGGCCCTTCCCAGCCTTCTTTGCAGACACACGTGAAGGAGTCCCCGTTGACCACACAGGTGGCCCCGTTATGGCAAGGGTTGGGCAGGCAGCTACTGTTTCGGGCTACAAGACAAGAACAGACAGGACCACCCTCCCTGAGGATCCAAGGACAGTTCGGGGAGCCAAGAACCAGACCCACCACGACAACAGTCCTAGGTGTTGAGATGGTCATGCCCACAGCCAACCCCGCATGGGGCAGAAAGCTACCTATGTTGCAGGTCGTCCCTTCCCAGCCTCCAGGACACATGCACTTGAAAGCGTCCCCTTCATCAGAGCAGGTGCCACCGTTGTTGCATGTGGCTTCGTCACACTGGCTGTCACCTGGAGGAGGGGGACCTCCGTGTGAGCCCCTGGCCAGCCCCCCTCACAGGAGACGGGGGGAGGGGTGGCCCGTGGAGGGCGGTGGGTCCTCCCAGCCAGCTACCACTTACGTGAGTGGCAGGTCTTTCCTTTCCACCCGTTTTTACAGTCACAGTAAAAGTCATTGACAAGGTCACGACACGAGCCCCCGTTGTGGCAAGGATTCTGGCTGCAGTCATTAATATCTAGGATCAAAGAGGAGATGCCCAGCTCAAGAAGCTTCCAGAACTGTTCACAGCATGTAAGAGCTGCACCCTTCCTAAGGCCACCTCCACCCCACGGTCCAAGACCAGCTGAGCAATCCCAGGACTTCAACACCTTCAGTCTTCAGGAGTAAAAGAACCCTCAACCGGGTTATTTGTGACACCCCAAGGTGGCAGGACAGGGACAAGCCTCTGGCGCTCCCATGGAATTTAACGTCAGGACAGGCACAAATTACAATCACAACAAAAAGAGGACTACTTTCTCTGCACGCGGGGCTCTTTATCCTAATTACAGCCTGCTGCCACAGCTCCTGGGCAGAAGCTCCTCCCCCTGGCTGTCCTCAGCATTCGCACGTACTAACAGGACGCAGGCACTGCCGTCCCATGCCAAGAATGGTTGGGGTCTCACGGTCTCATTCCCATAAAAAAAAGACAAACCTCCCATGAGGATTCTCTCCCCACCCCGCCCCCCGCGAGCATCCCAGAGCTGTCTGGCCCAGAAAGAGCACACACTCACTGGTTTCGCAGTAGGCCCCCTCCCAGCCGTCACTACAGATGCACTTGTAGGAGTTGACCCCATCGATGCAGGTGCCGCCATTTTTACAGGGGTTGCTCTCACAGTCGTTAATATCTGCGAAATGAACACACAAAAGCTGGTGAATAAAGGACACCCAATGCCATAGCCAGGCACTGGTCCCAAGGCCACCTCCTGAGAAAATGAGGGGCCAGGGGGCACCTCAACACTCTCCGTTAGGACCCTTTCTCGAATTCAACAGGCAGCTTATCAGGCAGAAGCCTCCAGAGGATGCCTTGTCTGTTTTATTTAATGCCTTGTAGGCTAAGCTACTTGGTGGGAGTGGGGAAAAAACTCCTACAGAAAAGCAGGACCACCCAAACTAGTAAGATTCCAGAACATAAGTGTGCCGAAGGGTCAAGGTGTCAGTGATCTCATAACTTAACACAATTCGGTCTTAGGTCCGAGATGCAATGGTAAGCCTTCACTGGTCTCTGACTGAAATGACTCAAGCTCAGATGAGCTGGGCAGAGGCGGGGGGGGAGGGGTGCACCCAGCCCCATTCCCCGAAGAGGGGTCTTACTTTCATGGCAGTACGTTCCAGTGAAGCCTTTGTTACAGTCACAGGTGAATTTGCCTCCCGACTGACTCTTGCACTTCCCGTGGGGACCACAGACGTTCGAGGAAATATACCGCACCCCCTCGGGCGTGTCGTTGGAAGCCATGGCCACTGTGCAGCTGTCAATCACTAGAAAACAGACGTGGGATCAGATCACGGCCACGGACCCCTAAGACACGGCATTCCTAAGCCAAGGACCTATGCCAAGCTTGCTTTCCTGGAGACAGGCACCCTTTGGCTAAGGAAGGTAAGAAATCAAGAGGCACCTTGGGGGCCAAGACTCAGACAGTGGGCCACATCACACTGTGACAGGCCAAGCTGAGACTCCAGGCAGACAGAAGTTTTCTTTTTTTCCAGGCATTTTCCCCCTAGGTGGCTAAGAAGTCTGCGTGTCTGTGGGCCCCTCTCCTCCTCCCTGTGACATCTCAGTCTGGCAGAAGCTTGCTGAAGGAAGCAGGACCAGCTATACTCTCTACGTAATCAGACTTAAGCAGGCGGGAAGGACACAGAACCTGTAAAGCCACGTCACCTAACAACATCCATGAGACACGTGTGGCTCTTTGATTTACATGAATTGAAATTAAGTCAAGTCACCCTTTCTCGTCGTACCAGTCACACTGAATGCTTCTGTGGCTACCATACCCGACAGCACAGAGAGCAGACATTTCCACGGCTGCAGAAGGTTCTGGCAGCACTGCTCTGAGGAATGTCTCAGTGGTGCACATCAGCCCACCCCAGATGAGGCATGCTCTCCCCCAGGCTACGTGTGGACATGGTTCTCCCACCAGCGGGCCTGAAGAGATGGCTTCCACGTGCTGTGGCTTCCCTAAGCGGTCAGGTTAGGGGCCTTCAGTCTCACCCACACGGCTTCTGAGAATATCGAGGGGGCAGTGGCACCTGGGGCAAGAGGAAGGCGCCCTGGAGGCCAGCCTGAACGGCAGGTGGGGGAGATACCTTCACAGGGGGTCGTGCGGCAGTGGTCTTTAAGGTGGGAGCAGTTCTTGCCCTCGTAGTCCTCGGGACACTTGCAGAAATAGTCACTGGCACGGTTGTAGCACTGGGCGCCATTCTGGCAGGGATTGGGCTCGCAGTAATCTATGTCCAGCTGCAAGGAGCAGGGAAGGGGGAAAGGAAACAGAGGTGTGACTCGAACTGCTCTGGGGCAGGAGACACTGGAATCGGACCCCTTCACCTCCTGCCATCAGGAGAACACCCTACATAATACACAGTTATGTCCTGGAGACCGTCCAGGGACACATGGGCAAAACAGGGCAGAGCGGGAGACGCTTGGAGTCGGGGGCACAGAGTCAAATCGACAGGCTGCTGACACTATGAGGAAAACCACTCCTCGCTGTCCTTCCACCTGCATTCACCTAGCAGCAGTCCCGGGTCCCTGGGTGTTAACAGACTTCATGGTGACTCCACAGAGTTGGGAGGGAGGGGGAGGTGGGGGGGGGCAAGAGAAGGGGGAAGAGGGGGCTCTGCTGTAGAAACTTGGCCTTTGGAGGTTCTAGCACCGCTCACCTGACAGAGGTTTCCAGAGAAACCAGTGGGACACAGACACTGGAATCTGTTGATTTCATTCTGACAGTGACCCCCATTCAAACAGGGGTTGCTGGCGCATTCATCGATGTCCCTCTCACAGTGATCGCCTGCATAGCCAGGTGGACAGATACAGCGATAACCGTTAACCAAGTCCTGCAAGAGGGGAAGGAAGGGGGGAGAAACACATGCTTTTGTCTCTGCGCTCCACGAACACAGGGCTGCGACAGTCCAGCAGGACTGCCGGGGTTCCGCTGATCCACTGAAATCGCTCAGTGCCCAGCTTCTCGAGAAGTGTGTGAGAGGAATTCCCAAGTGCATGCCTCTGGGATGGCTCCCAGGAGGCTGGGGGGCGGTTCACAGGAGCCCAAGTGAAACTTCCAGAGAATCACTTTCCACCTGCATTTTTTTAATCTCAGAGGGACAGAGCCCTCCCAGGGTCACCTACACGGATTCGTGTCAATCAGTAAGGTTTTCATTTTAAGCCAAGATTTACATACCCGACAGGAGGCGTCATTCTGACACTGGCCAAGGCAGTCATTAATATCTGAAAAATAAACAAGTCATCATATTAAAGAGGCAGTTTACATTGAAATTGGGCTTAAATGAAAAGCGTTCTCCGCTCAGGACAGATAAAAGCCTCAAATCAGATTTCCTGTGTGCTTCCCCTGACATAAGGTTATTACACTGGGTGGGACCCCTCCCTCATCCCACCAGACTGAGCGAGTGAAATTTCACAACATTGTTTTAGCCACCTTATCAGCATATGGCTGTTTTACCGGCTAATGAGCCTGATAAAGTGCCATGTTTTCATTTCTGCACCGATCACTCCCTCTCCAAAAACACTGCCTCTCTGAGGTTTTCCTTTTACCACTCAAGTCTTCGAGCTGGAGCTGATGTACGGGCTGAGAAAACCTTCAATACCCAAGTTCCACAAAAATCAAAATCGAAACAAAGGTACTCACTTATGTCACAATTCTGACCCGTCCAGCCCGGGAGGCAATCACAGTAGTAGCTCGCAATCAGATTCTTACAGGATTTGGCATTTACACAAGGTTTGGCCTCACATTCATTTGCATCTGAAAGAAAATGTGGAGGGGCAGTGAGAAATGGAAATTTACCCCCACTTCCCAAACCCCCCCCCACACACACACACACAAAATACCCTATCGATAGTTTCTCTGAACCAGGAGACATTTTAATAACCTAGCTAAATCACAGATACTAGGTTCCCACTACTTTGAACAGCTGATCCCTCTCCCTAGCCACTAGCCAATAAGGAATGCTAATTGATAACTTTCCGGCTGCTGGTTAACAACTGGCCCCCAACAGGAGAGCAGAAAGCCACCAGGCATTGCTGTGCGAAACTCGGCGCAGCCTAGTTGCTGGGATTTAAATGTGGCAGGAAGAATGCAGACAGCTCATTCCTCATGAGACCATCCCCGTTTGGAACCCAGCTGAACACTCCTCGGACAGACGATTGACATGGTTCAAGGAATCCCATGACTTTCCCACAGCGCCTAAAAGAGCTAGGCCATTTGTATTCGAGTTCTCTCTCCCAGGCCCGCTGGACTCTTGACAATAAATTACTTTTTAGTAGGATGGTGTGCAAACTCACACCACTAGCCACATGCTCATCTTCCCTAACAGCTCGGGTCATCAAAGCCAACCTCGGTGCAGGAATTTCCTTACCTAACTGGCACGTTTTGCCAGTCCACTGGGGTGGGCACACGCACTTGAATCCATTTACCAAGTCCTGGCAGGTGCCCCCGTGGGAACAGTTATTTGGAGAACAGTCATCAATGTCTGTTGGACAAAAGGGAAAAGGGTTGGCAATTTAATCTCCGTCCGTTTGACAATTAGATAATTTAATGCCAACCCTCACATGAGGGGCCTTCACTTAAGGGCCAGACACCTGCTGTAAGTGACTGCTCTGACGATAAGGCCTGATTTTAGCTTTAAATCCTCCACTGCCCCAGTTCATTTAATCCCCGACCTAAGCAGCAGGGAAAGCCAGCTGGATCCCCAGAGCATCGACCCACCGGTAACATGGGACATCTTGCTCTGCCTACTCTATTTTTAAAAGAAAAGTTTCCGCATGGCTCAGGAGTAGCTAAAGAGGTAAGGAAAAATAAGTCGTCTTTACTGGTAGAAAACTTCATCTCATTTGCTCACAGTTTTCCCCAAATTACACAGCTGGGGTCCCCACCCCCGCACTTCTGCACGGGACTATAGTGGCCTCTTCGTTCATCTGCTGCCCACTTACAAAGGATCAGGCTCTCTCTGTGAAGCTGCTCGTGGGTTCTTCACAACCATAGGGGATGGCAATTGCTCCTGCCCCGTCTAAACAGGGCCCGGGGAGGTAAAGACCAGTCCCCCAAGAGGCAGGCAGGGCGACAGTACCAGCCCTGGTGCCCCGACCCTGGAACCCACAATCTTCACCAGGCATGCTGCTCTCAGGGTGCTGCCGACAGTGGTCCTCAGGCCCGGCTGCACCTCAGAAGCCCAGGTGCTTGTTACAGAATGTGTACTCCCCAATCCCGAAGGGAGACTGTGGGGACCCCACATCTGCACTGTCCAGCACCCCGGTGGTTCTGACGTGCAGCCAGGCCTCGCGGCCATGACAACTCCCTAGCCTAGGTCCCTCTTTCGGGGCCACCTACACCCCTGAGCACCTCCCCTGCGGGCAGCCGAGTCTCCATGGCGGCAAGGAGAAGAACTAGGACTCGATTCCATGGAGGCAGAGCTCCAGGGAGCACACAAGAAGCACGCAAGAGGGACGGAGGTGTCCCACGGAGAAGTTTCTCCCAGTAGCCGCCACACGTACTAACTTAGCACGGTAGGGGGAGAGCGCCCAGAGACTTCCAGTGTAAAGGCTGGAAGCCCAAGCCAGACTCACCCGACACCCTTCCCATCAAGACAGACCCATCACGGAGACCTGACACTGAACCCGGCCCAGGTCCCCACCCCCACCCCAACACTCGATATAGCGATCCTCTGGAAAAGACCCAGGCCAAAGCCCAGACTTACTTGTGGAACACGTAGGGCCTGTCCAGCCAGGAGAACACTCACACTCAAATCCCAGGGAGGTCTCCCTGCAGCTGCCTCTGTTGTGGCAGGGGTCAGACAGGCAGGCGTGCTCCGCTGCGAAAACCAGGAGGGCAGTCAGCAAGGGACTCCCGCTTGTGGCTACCTATGTCCTCTCCCCGCAACCAAGTCCCAACGCCTGGGCCACCACCAGCTCAAGCTCGCTTCGGTAAAATGAAAGCAAGCATGTGCTATAACCCTGCCGCGTCTAGGGAAGCCAGGAAGGCCTCTTTCGCACCGAGTGTCTCCCGCCACATTCCAGGGCATCTCCGAGCCCGGGTCACCGCGCGGCAAACACGCCACCCCCCACGCTAGGCAGCATTGCCGGAGAGCCTCGCACTGCTTGAAGGAAGCCTCGAAGACCCACAGAACTGCTGGGATGGCAAGTCTTCACTCTGGAGGCTATTTTCATCGTTTTACGAATTCTTACGGGTGTTATTTTTTAAGCTGAGCGTACCCAAAAATTAAACGAAGGGCTCTCGGTCTGCCTGGACCACTTACCGATTTCACAGTTGGATCCTGAGTAGCCCTCAGGGCAGGAACACTGATACTTGTCGGGACCCGTGTTGCTGCAGGTTCCCCCGTTGAGACAGGGCTGGCGGGTCCCACAGTAGTTGAGATCTGCCAGAGACCCCGGGACAGCGGTGGCTCAGAGCGGATGGTATAGGCTGCCGAGCTGCCATGTTCCCAGTGCTGCCCCCACCCTGCCCCCACCAACCAGAAAAAAAGTTCCCAAACCACGGGCGTGAAAGGCAAACTCTCAACAGATTCAGAATGAATCTACAAATAAAAAGAAAAAAGCCAATTACGGCCGCCCCACCGCTTAAGGTCTCAGGCATCTCCTGCAGCCCCTGTCCTGCCCCAAGGTCCAGTCCCCGAGGTGCGTACCTTTGTCGCAGAGCTGGCCGCCCCAGTTGGTCTCACAGAGGCACTGCCAGGGCTCGTTACAGGTGCCATGGACACACCCAGGGTGCGGGATGCACTTGTCACAGTACAGGCCTTGCCAGCCATACTGGCACCTGGAGGGGACAGACAGCACACCCCCCCTTTAGTCCTTACAACATTCGGGGAGATCTGTGCCCTTTAAATGCAAGGCTAAGGAGCTCAGGCCTTTCTGGTCTTGTTTCGTTTTCGGTGACAGGACAGTCAGACTTGCAAGGTTTGTGCGGGGGCGCCGTCTAAACAAACATTTTCGGTGGTTGGGCCGAGGTCCCCTCCCAGGCGACTCGCGACAAAAGCAGGGCTGTCTGGGGAGAGGCCAGCGGGGGCTGCCCTCACAAAGCCACTCTCTTCTCAGGCTCACAGGGCTGGGCGAGGGTGGGGGCGTGGAATAAATCAGTTCAGGGCCCAGCCGGCTACGGAGGCCACGGAAGGACTCTCGGGTGACAATAGCCGTGTGACAGTCTTCGCAAAGGCGGCCTGGCTCTTTGTCTAAACAGCAAGTCACGACCCCAGTGCTCAAAAAATGCAACAAGACACCCAGGGCGGCAGGAAGCCGCCTCCTGATGAATCAAACGAGGGAGGGGAAGGGGGCACCCTCCTCTGGCAAAGAGGCGGCGAAGATCTCGGAACCCACTTCTGCAGGAGAATGAGGGAAGCCACAGCACTTGGAACCAATCCCATAGATAATTTATGACCCACTACCGGGGCTGCTTACGCTAATTCATTTTATAGTTATTTCTCACTTTGGCGGGGGAAGGTCAACTCGGTTTATCTAGTATTGGGGAACAGAGTCGAGTTTCCTTCATAAGCGCCTCATTAATCGGATTCTTTTGAGGCCAAATGGTGCCTTTGATCCCCAAACAAAAACACAAACATAAACCTTCACCTGGGGTGGGTGAGAGGGCAGAGCCTCCGCCACCCTCCCCTCAAGTTTCAAGCCCTGAGAAACTCTAACTGCCCTCTCAAAACTCGAGCTTTGACAAACAGGAGAAAGCCCGGGGATGGTGGGGGTGAGCATGGAACAGGGATGGGCAGAGCATTTCTAGAACAGGACCTGGGAAAAGCCACAGTGAGAACGACCAGCACCCTCCCCCAGCCCGAGCCACTCAGCTGTAATGCTGGAAAACAAGCACCCTCAAGAAGGGAAGGCTTTCCGTTTCCAGGGAGCCAGAGGCAGGCTAGCAAATCCTTATCCTGGGAAAATTATAGGGATCCAGCTAATAGCTAATCACCCACGGCCAAGAGTCAACTTAACCCCTGAGAACACTGACTAACCACTTCCTAACTTCCACAAACAAGCCATCCACACCCCAATTCAAAGAACCCCCAGAATGCGTGGTTTAAACTGAATCAGACAGAGGGCTCGGCTTTATGTAAAATAGAACAGCAGCCTAAATGCCCGTGACCATTCAGAGCAGTAAGGAAAAAAAAAAATTTCTACCAGATTTTTTTTTTTTTTTTTAATAGTAGGGATACTCAAGTTAGTGGGACTTGGGGGAGGGGGTTTCATTCAGTAAAAGATTATCTTAGCTTGAAAGCTATTAAGAGGGAACTGATTTGGAAATAGCAGTATTCTTACTGTGTTCTCTAACTCCCTTCCAAATTATGGATGGCTACACCTCTTCAATTTGCCTAATAAAAGCAAGAAAAGGCAGCTGAGGACCCAACCTCACCTCTTAATTAATGAGAGCTGGATCCCCAAGCATAAAGAAGAAACCACAAGAGGCCATGGATGACTTCAAAAGAAAACAAATAAAAATACTGACCCTAAAAGAGGCATCCACAAAGTTATCCCAGTTTAATAATATATGATTAAGGTTCTCATGAGAATTTGAAGTGACTTTCCTCATACGATGATTCATCATTAAGTTTGATATTATTGGCAGGCTTGCAATAAAGCAAGCATGTGCACCCAGGAGAAGGAATCTAAGTCTACTTGGGAACAACAAAACCAGTGAAGTTTTCTCATGTAGGGATCTTAAAAAAAAAAAAAACAAAAAAAACCACCGCCTCTGTAATACATAATCCATAAGACAACTTACAGGTAACTCGCCATTCAACTATTTCTGGAGCAGGACACAACCTGAACTTCCTCGGCTAGAAGGTTCTGTTTTGATTTTCTTTCAAGGTAGGCAGAACCAGATGGGCTGGGAGACTATGCAAATGACGTGTGGGAAAATCGCACCTTAAGTAAATAAGGGCACCGGTGCGTGTCTGGGCAGGGAGTGGGAGGGGAGACTTCGAAAGAGAAAGGGCTAAATTCTGGAAACAAAGCCTGTTGTTCTGGCTGGGAGGGCCCTCCCCTGCGCAGTGGCCTGCCCATTCTGATGACAGTAGCAGAAATCGCGGTCGGCCTCCACTGATATTCATCTGAGCGGGAAGCAGGCCCAGAGTCGCTAATAATACTGCCGATCTGACATTCTCTAGAACACCCTTAATTAAGAAGGGTGAAGGTAGGTGGATTCCTGCTCGAACTCTGACAGCAATGCTGTCAAATACGACGCTCAGTGGCCACCAATGGGGCTTAGTAGGCAAACCCCCACAGCCTTCCAGAAAATAAACTTCTCCCTCAAGTGGAGGAAGAGACCATTCCAGGTCACCCTGGTTTTATTTTACTTCCAGCTGCCTTAGTTCTTAGTTCTTCAGTGTCAGGCCTCAGAGCTCAGTGCCCCCCACTGCACAGGAGGGGAACAGATGTGGTGGTGGAGACACAAAGTAAAGACCCCAGAGAATTCTCTGTAAAGCGGCAGTCCTCCAGATACACGGAGCATCACGACTGTTTGGTGGGCTCACCAAAATGCAGATTCCTGGGCCAAACCCTGGCCTGGGATTCAGTGGGTGTGGGGTGGCACCCAAGAATCTGCATTTCAACAGCTCCTCTGTTAAATCGGGGAATTACCGACGTGGGCACTGAGGTTTGGGGCAGCGATTCCCAAAGCATGGTCTCACCAGCAAGAGTGGCGTCACCGGGGGGCTCGTTAGCAATGCAGAGACTCGGGCCCACCCCGACCTGTGGACTCAGGCTCTGCATCTTAAGAGCTCCAGGTGATGTGAGTTTGAGATGCACCGGTTTAGACAGTTTTGTAGGCCTCCTGTGGCTCAAACCAGGGTGGCTTCTGGGGCACAAGTGATAGGCCCCAAGGAGCCTTTCAGTGTCACACTAGATCTGCTAATCCTTCAGATCTGGGAGGAGGGAGAGTAAAGTGTGAGACTGTGTCAGAATGCCACAGACACCAACGCCGTTTCCTGAAACAAGCCTTTCCCAAATGGGCATAATGTACGTTTCAAGAAGGTTCCAAAAACTGTAATCATGAAGCAGTCGGGGTGGGTCTCTGTTTGGCTTCTGCATTGTCCGGGACCATAAAAGACCAGACTTCAAAGGCCAGCAGCAAAAGTCTACATTCATCAGGCTCAACTGACAAGATTCCAGCGCAGCCATTAACCTCTCAGCACCGGCCGGCTCCCGCCTGCAAAGGGGCCAGGAGATTGTACTAATCCCATTCTAAAGAATGCTCCGCTGTCCCCTAGTGATGGGAAAAGTGGGGGAGGGCTGGGAGACGGAAAACCAGGTTGGGAGAGGAGACAGACTCAAAGAAACCCACATCCCTCCATCTCATCCATTAGCACTTTAAGGGGAAGATTATAAAAACGTGTTATCAATTTACAGAACAGTTAATACATGACGTCACCGACTATGCCCATAAGAGTTTTTTCTCTTCCAAGAGAGAAGTGCGCACATTCCACCAGACAGCTGGTATAATTTAATAAGCTTTGGATGTGCCTATTTAGATTTTTTTTAAGCTTTCTTGTCCTCCAAAGAAAAAGAGGCATATTCACAATAAATTCAGTCCCCCTCTTGCATTAAAGGATTTAAAAAAAAAAAAAAAGTTTAGTCATTTACCTGCAGTCACCTGGGAGTTTGCAAGACCCATGCTTGGGACTACAGCCCTGTCGGCAAATAGCTGTAAAAACAAAACAAAACAAAACAAAACAAAAAACAAACACACAGATGAGTCAAGCACACTGTTTCTTGCACCACCACCATGAGAATGGCCTAGCACATTAAGCCTACAAAATCCACAACTTTCAGAGATCTCATGACAAGTCCATTGTAAGGAGAGGAAGATGGGAGGTGCCCAAACAGCAAATCCAGCTTTAAACTTCAAGGCCATGCTAGCAGATCTTCAAAACATGATACTACTCAGGGACAAAATGCAGGCAAGTCGAGGGAGGAGGGGGGGGGTTCTTCATCCAGTCTCTCTCAACAATAGCTACCCTGCTCCCTGTCAATTCCCACCCTCTCCAAAAGAACAGAAGCTGTGATCCTTCCTCATCTCAACCGCTCTGTCCCATGAGGGGCACATTCAGGAGTCCCAGCCTCCTTAACCCCCACACCCCCACCCCCTAAAAACGCCTGATGGCTCAAAAATCCCATGGGACTAACAAAGCCAACCGAGCTGACTTTATTTGGCAGGCTAAATCCAGAGGCCAGATCGGGTGGTACTTTTGCAAAGTATCCTCACAAAGCAATTCTGCTTCATTTAAAAAAAAAAAAAAAATTTGAACAGATGGTAAAAAATACTAAACATGGTTTTTAAGTAATTGTTTCTGATTTTTAGAACACCAACTACTTTAAGTATGTTTGCCAATTCTTTCATTTGGATCCCAGAAATGCCATCCTTTTAAAACTCTAGTGATTTAAGAAAAGCTCAGGAGACCTGCAAATTCCTCTTTGTCCTGCCCTTCAGTCACAATTCAAAAACTCCCTTTTTGAGTGCATCCTGAAAGAATTTACCAAATTAGGTGAAATAAGCAGAGTACAGTCATGTTTGGAGGGCCTACTCTGGTCAACGAGAATTACCCATTTACTAAGTATTAAAAGCTTTGTAAAGGTACAAACCACAGATGATGCTGTGGACATCTGTGACTATGCGGTTAAGTCCCTGAATCCCAGTAGAAGGGCTGGGACAGTGGACAGCACGTCTGCAAGCTTACACTGCTGTCATGGGTCCACCTCTCCACGAGTCTGAAAGCCCGGGTTCACCACTCAGCCCTTCACCTTCAATGCCACGGCCCCCGAGATGCCCCGTGAAAGCTCGCCACAGGCCACACTGAGCTCAGGGGTGTCATTTCCTACAGGATCACAAGTTCAGGCACAGAGCTAACCCTGTCCCATTTGGCATCTGTTTTGGGTCAGGTTCCTTAGAAGCAGAGCCCGAGACCAGGATCTGGGTATAGGAGAAGGGGGCTGAAGGCAGCAGATGGGGCAGGGGAAGGAGCCGAGCAGGGGGTCTCAGCTGGAGTCTGGCTTCCACTTGATCCCAGGGGAAGCCCTGGAGTGTGAACTGTAGCACGGAGTGCAAGAAGGTGGCGGGGGGGGGGCTGGCCTTTGTACCCCCATCCAGTCATTCACAGACTGGGAGCTGGAGGGAAGAGGCATGGAGTGGCTATTTGGCCAAGGCCAACGCTCTAGAGAAGGAACCGCTGTGAGCTGTTAGCAGCCAACACGGGGGGTGGGTTGGGGGGACACCAACAGCATCTTTGTGCCTCAGGCCTAGAAGAACAGCCCAAACATCTCCCTCTCCCCACCTGAGACAGCCACTTGGCTGGGTGGGGACAGAACCGGACCCCAACGGCGACAGCCCCTCAGAGCTGGTAATAACCCAGCCAGCACAGGCCCACGCACCTCTGTTACACTCCGGGCCCATCCAGCCCTCCATGCACGTTTTGTTGCCATTCAGGTCGCAGGCATAGTGTCCAAAGAAGTCATCTCGGGGTCGGCAGAACTTATTGCAGCCAAAGCCGTAGTAATAGTCATCACAGGTGACACGGATCTGATACTCAAAGTGGGCAACCCCTGTGTTCTGCTTCAGCGTTTGCCACTGCCTGCTGGGGTTTATCATGCCCGAGTGGGAAGCCTTCTCAATAATGCTGTCAGGCTCTAGAGGCAAAAAAATAAATAAAAATTAAAAAGCATTGACTGCATTGACTTCTCCCCTGGCCATTTTGCCTATTTTACATAACGAAAACAAAGGCACGTGGTACAAAATGCAAACAGTATTCAAAAGGGCAGAAAAGTGCAAAGTCTGTCCCCCTCCCCACATTTATTTACCCTTGTTAATGGGTGCATAGTATTTACCTGTCCGGGAATACAGTGAAATATGTTCACACCTAGTTCCTGACAAAGGTGCATGTAGGTTATTTTGACATTTTACAGTTCAGCCAAGCCACAACGAACATCCTTGAACTCATCAGCCCGTGTGTGTGGTTCTAGCAGTAAAAGACCCTCTAGAAACAGAAGTGCACCCAATCCACATCCGTCCACAGCCAACCATGAACTACCGCGAACGAAGCCCCATCAGCCTGTCGTTCCATCTGCACAGGAAACTGGGTTTCTCGACAGCAATGCCAACACAGTGTAGATTATCCAACTTTCTGATCTCTGCCTGATAGGTAAAGAAGTAACTCTTACTTTAATCAGCATTCAATTAAGGGATGGTGAGCACCCTTCCACGTGGTTACCAAGCCATCTGCAGCTGTTCCTGCGAACTGTGACCTGTTTCTCTCCTTTGCCAAGTGTTCTATTGCACTGCTGGGCATTTGCAAAAGCTCTTTACATATTATAGAAAGCACCTGATTCCAGGTAAAGGTTAGCAAGCCTGCTCTTCTGGTTTTAGAGTCTCGGATCTTGATTTAGAAAGACTTGGTCTTCCTTCCAAACTCTTCACTAGAAGCCAAGGGGTAGAGTTAGGTTTTTAAAAAATGATAAACTTTGCCACCTTGTCAGCAGCTGGCCCTTGTGCCACGGACTTGAAGCATCTCACCTTTCACCTTTGCCCAGAAGGCAGAGGGGGAAAGGGACGCACCCCAGTTTAGAGACAGGTAGCTTGGGGGTTTTTCTGAGCCAAGTCATGCTCCTGAAAAGGTGCCTATTGGAAATGAACACGCCCAGAGCTCGGGCAGCCAGCTCTCACGAGGAGCAAGAAGTGGTCCTGCCCCCAGGTCACTTATCATCTAGTCTGAAAGAACAGCCAGGTACCAGGTGCCAGGAGTCCAGGGGAGGGACGTAAAAAGGAAGCGAGGCACGAAGTCACACCACAGCCTGATCTGGGGTTTTGTTTTCTTAAACCTGCTGGCACCAACCCTTCACTGCCTTGTCAGACGCGAGGCCACCTCGGAGAGCCCGTATTAGGACCTACTCGCAACGTCTGTGGTTCTTACCCACCCACGCCCCTGTTGTTCTAGGCCCAAGGCCTGCACTCATTTACAAGTTTATGCAAAGCCAACAGGTGACCAGAGAGGAGGAGCTGAGGGGCTCCTTCCACACGACTTCCAGCTTTGCCCTAGTGTTCACCCTCTGGCTTTAACTGTTGTGTGGGCAGGACAAGCCTTGAACAAGCCCACATACCTGCAGACTCACACCCCAGCACACACAGAACCACTTGCAGATAAGGCTTCACTAACATGAAGTTTTACAAATAAACACAGGCCGAAGAATGACAAAAATGTCCCTCCGTTAACTGTGTGTTTGCTCTGCCGGTTCAATTAAAAAGTGAAGCGAGCCATTACCATGTGATTATGAGACCTTAATAAAGGAATTATTTAAACACATGGCTCAAAGGCCTCCAGCATCTCTGGGGCAGGTAGCAACCACAAACTCAGCCAAGAGTTCAGGGCAATCCTAAAGGCACAGGCTGAAGGGTCTTTTTCAGTAGTTCGGTAGGCTTTCCACCCAGGTCTAGAAAATATGCAAACGATCATTCCGGAATCCTCCATGTGGCTAACAGATCAGGAGAGCTAACTTTGCAGCTGTGTGGCAGGTTTCTCCCAGCAGGGCCAGAGGCAGGGAGTTGGGGGTGTGGGACACGCTCTCTGGCATCTGGGTTATAGAGATGTCTGCTGCCTGCTTCTTCCAAGCTGCTGCCCCTGAATCATACTTCCTCTCAGCTTGGGGCGTAGAGGTGTAACCGGGGGCAGGGGGGAGAGATAGTTCACTTGGGAGTCCAGCTTTATGGCTGAAAGAGGCTGTTAGCAGACCCTCCTGTGATCTTCAACTGTGTGAAGATGGAGCACAAAGCCCCCACCACAGCCTCGCAGGCCAAGGTGGAGGTAATGAGGCAAGTCAGAGCACAACCCCGGGGCCACACCAACCCACAAACCTAGGACAGGAACATCGTCAAGATGGCTAAGCGAGGAGGAAAACCTGGTCTGAGTAAGCTTGTTTGTGTTGACGTATCTCCAGAGCAGTCCCATAAACTGAAATCATTTGCAGTGGGGGAAGACCGAAATATTTGTACCCTTATCTAGTGCAGCTCTGAAACAGAAGAGAAAGGATCTCAGAAGACGGACGCCAGGAGGGCCAGCCTTAGACAATACTCTAACAAACAGTACCTGCGCTTCCTCTGGGCCAGCCTCTCTCTGCAGAGCCCAAGTGAGAAGGAATTCTCCGTCCTAAAACTCAGGGCTCGGCCTCTAAGCTGAAGCCAGGATTTCGGCAACTTGTTCGGCCCCCAAGGAGCAGCCAACTCCATCTGGGTTGCTCCACATCCTTGGCCTTTGCCCTCATGGACTACCAGTCCCATGGGAGGGACAGAGGGTAAAGAGAGTAATAAGCAAAACATTCCAGGCAGTGCAAACAGCATGTGCAAGGGCCCTGCGGCAGGACAGAATGAGAGGATGCATCGGAGGACAGAACGGTGACTGGTGGGATAGGACCAGAATCCGGATATGGTAGAGGACAACATGGGATGGAGTCAGCGGAAAGACAAGACGGCTGTGCAAGGCCTTTTGGGCCACACGAAGAGCTGTCCCAAGAGCCACAGGAGGCGGCCAAGTGGCTCTTAGTGAAGCTAACCACCAAATCGAATCAAGATGTACGCCAGAAACTAACAGAGGACATTGTAGGTCGATCATATTTACATTAAAAAAGAAAAAAATGCCCTGGAATGGAGGATGGAGAGGCAGGAGGATGGAGAAAGTGGCGGAGGTGGGCCAGAGCAGACATGGACGGACTAATTCGGCCACCACCACCACCACAGGAGTTCAGGCATCAGCAGAGGGTGACTTGGACCAGCATAGTGGCAGGTGACGTGGCAGGACGTGGCAGGACTCCAGTGCAGCACTGAAGATTTTTCAGAACCTGGAGGTGGATTCGAGATGGATGCTCAAAGAAAGGGAGGTACAACAGGGTGTCCTCCAGATTCCTGGCTCATGGTACTAGGTTGAAATGCTGGTGCCAGTCATCCATGAAGGGCCCTGGGCAGGATCTCATTCGGAGAGAGAAGATGCCAAATACGGTTCTGAACGTGAATTCAAAATCCTTTGGAAGCACTGTAAAAAGAGAGGCTGAATAAGCCAGTGGCTTATCCACTCCTCTTTGGGGTTCACTAAGTGAGCTTTAGTGACGTGCAGTAGGGCATTCCTGGACTTTGGGCCAACTCCTTTAAGAGTAGAGGTCTGAAAACTCCTTCTCCCTACATCAAGTCTTCCTTGTGCCCTTCCAGTGACCTGGTGGCCCCCTCCCCAGCGAGGAAATGCCCCCGAACCCCAAAACAGGGCTACCCTGAAATGCAGATTGCCGTAGGCAGCTCTGGAGAGGCACCAGCTTCCCAGGGGCACAGCTACCTGACCTGTGGGGTGAGGGAAGGCCCAGGAAGGGCCCTGCAGGGGCTAGGTGTCCCGCATGCCCTAACAGGTGTCCTGAATCAGCTCTTGCCACAAGCCAGGATCCATCTCAAGGATGTTCACTCTACCAGACTCTTAACATCTCAGCAGGAAGGGAAGGAGAAGCCACATCGGCACCAGAGTATCTGATGAGTCTATTTCCCCCCCACCTACCTCCCATTTTCCCAATGCTTAGTTACCATTGTAACCAGGTCACAGTGACACCAGGCTCACACAATCTCCAATGTTTGTGGCAGGGGAGGGAGGAGAGAACACACAGGTGTCTGTGACCCTGACTGGCACTGGCCACAACCACTGCTGGTTACCCCCCCCTCCCCTCCCACCACACCACAGCGGGACTGGGGATCCCCCTCAGAGAGGAAGTCCACAGATCTGGGCTTCGAGGATGTCGAAGCAAGAGGAGGGACCCAAATGGCCTGCAGCCTCAGGCACACCAGGGCTCAGCAATAATTACGTGGCCCTGGGGGGCCCCAATGAGCCAGACTCAGCCTGAAGCAGCCCGCCTCACAAGTACCAAGCCCTCACTAGGCCCACTCTGGGCACTCGCCATTCTCAGATCCGCTTGAAAAAAAGAAGGCATGGTGAGAAAACAAGGGGAAATGTTATCAGCAGCAAAAACAAAGAAAGGGTAAGGTAGAGAAGCCAAAGGGAGGAGACATTCAGAGAAGGTAGGGCAAGGACAAAGAGTTGGATCAACCCTTCCTCCTACGCAGACTAAGGGATTTTAGCATGAATCAAGTTTTCCCAGGACAACCCTCCAGATCCTGCCCGCAGAAAGGAAGCGCACCGTCTCCACACGTGAGGGAAATCGTCTTTAAGTCACATTTTAAAGAGCAAAGACTACCCCGTGTAAGCCAGGCTACTGCCATGTTCAGACATACCCTCTGTGACTTCCCCACCAAAAGCCACCCCTCGCAGCTCTGAAAAGCAACCTGCCCTGAAACAGTCCTCTTTCAGAAGGGGCCGAGGCAGCCATAGCGCCTGTGAGGCTCTGGGATTCCACTTCAATGAAAGGTGGGTCATGCCCGGTGTGGGAAAGAAACCCCGACTGACCGGCTAGAAGCTCACCTGCCCACCAAGTGAAATTCAAGGTCGGTCTTTAGATTTAGAGCCCGGCTCCACCTTTGCGGGCTTTATCTTCCTGATGAGAGATTAAACACTCACTTAAAGTTTAAATGGACTTTTTAAAAGTCACTACTTTGATCCTTTAGCAGCCTACAAGGTTTTAAAGTTGTAAAACCATTAAGATTGCTATCCCAAAGATAATCTAGGTCCCATATTCAGGAACTCAGTTAACTGGGACTCTGTCCCAGCCACTTAATATTCCAAGCGGACATTCTAGGGGAGGTTGTAGAAAGGACTCCATGGAGCAGTTTGCCCTGGGCTTGGTGGGGCGGGGGGGGGGGGGGGGGGGGGGGGGGGGTGGGGCGGAACGGGGTTGGTGCAGACAGCAGGGAGTGGTCCGAGTCCTCTGAAGCACTTAGGAGACAGATCCAGCTCGGACACTACCATACTCCAAGCACTGCGCTTCCAGAAAGACACACCTGGAGAAAAGCCCATTGCTGTGATACTTACGGAGAGTGTCGTTACTGGAATCCCACGCCTCCACAAGCAAAGTGTAGGACCTCTGAAACAGAACAACAACAGCTTAGTATCCAGAAATAGGGATCAGCTCCCAAATGTCCTACTTGCTTGGCCTCCCCTCATACCTCACCAAACAAAACCGTAAAGTCAAAATGAAAACTCTGTTCGCCGTGGAACTGAGGTCCCTCTCCTCCCTGGCACCCACCCCCAGGCTGACTCCTTCCACCTGGCGGGGGCCCACTGCAGGTCGGTCATCGTCCTCTTACGCAAGCAGCCCAAAGTCATGATCAGGAAATACCACCTCCCTATATGTGAACACTCTACAGTTTTCCAAAACTTTCCAGACCCCTAAAGCTAGCACATGAGGAAAAAAAAACAAAAACAAAACCCACAAAGAATTTCTTCAAGTTAAACTAACCAGGTATTTGTATGGGGCGGGGGGGGCATCCAGGGAGGAGGGCCAGGTATTGCTAACGTTACACTTTGGGCCCTGGTGGGGCAATCCCTAGGGAGGCCCCCTTTTCCTTTTCAGAACCCCTTTGAAAGCCCTGTCAGTGTGAGACCATCTCAGCTCCCACAAGTATCAGGTGACTCTAGGAAGCAGGACGGGGGGCGGGGGGAAGGTAGGTGCAAAGAGACTAAGACAAAGGCGGCAACCCAACTTGGGGTGCTTGGGGGGCAGACTCTGGGGACGACAGTACAAAAGGGAGAAATAACAGCACACCCATGGCTTATAGCTATTGATGGACTTATCTGTCAATAAGATCTAACATTCCAGGAATAATCAGAGTCCACTAACTAAACAAATTCCCTGGACACTGGCAGGATGCCAGCTATTATACTGAAGGCACCTTTTATCTTCCAGGCTTATCTCGGAATTCTACGCCCCCCCCCCCAATCCAAGCCATTAGCAAATTCCCGCTTTTACTCAAATCTTCATTTGTAATTTAGAATGAGGTCAGTCTCACAAAACACCAGGGTTTAAATAAACCTGCTATCTTGGCGCTGGAGAATGATATCGGAGGGGGGTGGGGAAAAAGGCCCTTCCTCCTCTGTATCCCTCTTGTCACCGACAGATACCAGTGCATCGGAAATAGCACATTGAGCACATCGCTCAAATAATACCCTGCGCCAGAAACACCATTACCAAGAGAAGGCACCTACAAGGGGAGGCGAAAGTGGAGCAAAAGAAAAAAAAAAAAAGGCACTTCATTCATAACTCTAGGCAAGCTTACTGCTCACACAGAGACACAGCATGTTGTCTCCGAATATAAAAATATCTTGTGATAGACCCTGCCTTGGAATTCAGCCGAAATATGTTTCATACTCAAAGCAGAGCAGGATTCCATTTCGTTCACTGATAACTGTGGGAAAATGCTCAGAAAAGCAAGCAAAACCAGGCAAGCCGGGGCACATACCCAGCCCTCTCCTGTTTGGTGGCCCTGGGTCCAAATTCATTGTTGTCATCATTAATATTTTATTAGTAAAAGTTACACCTTATTTACAGCCTCTAAGTTTCCTGGGACTAACTACAAATTACAGGACTCTTCCCCGAGAGCAGCAAGAAATTACATTTCTCTACTGATTGGAGGGGAGAGCCAAGGCCAAATGAGGCCAGATGTGGGGCTGATTCTGTATAATTAAGCCCTTCGATCGCTGGCCACGTCGAGACCCATGTTCTCTACTTCCACGTATTGTTGTAATTAATCCTCTGATTAAATGCATTGATACCCGTAGTTCCGACAGACTCGCACAAGTGCTCAACATGTCGTCGCCACAAACCCCGCAGAAGGGGAAGGCGTGCCAAGCCTGAGCTGGCATGACAGTATTAACTTTGCTTCAGGCTCAAAGGAGGAGGCATCCTTCCGTCCTTGCACAAGAGCCTGGAAGACCAAGCTGTGTCCCAGGCTCCTCCTCACCGGAGCTGGGAAGACCTCGGGAGGTGCCGACCAACACTGCCCAACCTTGAGGGAAGAGAGTCACGCAGAGCAGCACCAGAGCTCAGGGACACCAAGTGTCATGATCGTCCATGAACTGCCTTCTCAGAGGTGGACAGGGGGTGAGGGCTGGGGGCTCCAGCACTGGCACCAAGGCCTTGCCAAAAATAAATAAGACGCTCTGGACTGTCTTGCTCTCCCTGGTTTCTGAGAAGGGCCGATGGTTCTGGGCCTCACCTCCCGGGGCAGGAGGATTCCTCCCACCCAGCCTTCAGAAGATAGGATTCCCTCCAACGCCCCTATTAGGAGGCCCTCTTACCTCCCACTCCATCCCCACACTATAGATCAACAATCAAGATAATTTGGTAATGATTATTTGTTGCTAGGAACTTTAATTTTTCCCAGGCCCACGCCTGACCTCTGTACATCCCAGAATATACACCCAGACTTGGGCAATCCAGACCATGCACTTTATGTCATCATATTAGGCCAGTACCAGGCTAAAAACCGGATGCAATCTGCTAGGATCATGTCACCCCCAATTTGTCACTGCAAATCTGACCCCCAGCAGCGGCCAAGCCCCTGGGCACCCCCCCCAAGGGCTTGGAAAGAGGGTGTCAGGCCAGATGATGGGCAAGTGTCCAACTTAACAAGTTCATACAAAAATACCACCCACAAGAAACAGAAATAGCAAATACCTGGATTTTTCTTGGTCTTACACTACAAAAGTAAGACTAGGAAAGTCCCCTTGCTTTCTTCTTTTTTCGTAAATCTCCCCAGAACGATAGCGGGGGGCGGGGAGGGCAAAGCAGGAGGGAGGGGGTAGCTAACAGAACTTGGGTGTGGGTTTGCGCCTCCCCCTTCCCACACCTCCAGGCCCAGGGCAATCTGGCCACAGAGGCTGGTCCTCGTGCTCGGGGAGCGGGAAAGAGGAATGGCCAGCTCTCAGGGCGACCTTCAGGGAGGACTGCTGGGGCCTTTTACCTAGAGGAGGGGCCTGGCCTCCAACTCCCCAGGCGCCCCCGGGCTGCGGCGGGTGGTGTCCTGCGCCCATCTGACTCCGCAGTGGTTACCTTGGCACCGGGCACAGGGCTAAGCACTTAATTGCCACATTAAGAAGGGGGATGTAAGAAACAAAGGTAATTGTGTTGGCAGCTGGGAACTTCCTTTTCCTGGCAACAGTGGCAGCCAAACCAAGCCCTGAGAAGAGGCTGCTTCCATTCCTGCCAAGCTGACGGACACAAACAAACCGCCATCCAAACGGCACGCGAGCAGCGTCCAAAACCCCAGGCCCTGCGCTGGGCGGCCCGGGAGCCCACACTCTGGGGATGCCAGACGTGCCCACGGGGGGGGGCCATTGTGCCAGGCAGCCGGCCCCGGGGTTGGTCTGGGGGCCCTGCGCTCTGCTGACTCAACTGTCGCTTCCTGTCGCGGGCCCTGTATTAGCAGTATTTTTTGGAAAGGCTGCATTATTCTCTGTAATCCTCATTTCAGTCAATTCGGCCACACTATTGTCCTGCCTGCGTCTGGGTGGCCACGGTATAAAATATTCCAGTCACAGACATATTAAATAAAGGCTTCGGAGATCGCATGTGTGGGTGCACGCACGCTCGCACGAACAATTCACGGGTCCCACGGCCATGGCAGGGGGAGGCTTGAAGAGAGGACAACTGCCCCACTGCGGCCAGGCTAAGACGACTTCAGCCGGAGACAGCAATTTAGTCTGTGGGGCTTGACATTTCAATAGAGTCCTATCTGGTTACAAAGGGTGATTTTCTCATGAAAGCCCACCTCAAAGACTCACCAAGTGGGCCCCACAGCTCATATCCAGATTGGAGGCTGTCCATGAGATGCCCCCACCGCCTTTCCCATCATTACCCTTACCTGTTTGAAAAGCATCCCACTGATAATTAAATGCACCAGTTACAAAAGGGTGGCGAGGTTAATAGATAGAATACCGAGAAGCCAGCCAAGCACAACCGTCCGGTTCACACAGAGCAAGCCTGAACAAGAAGCCTTTCTACTTATTTACCAAAAGTGCATAAAAACTGGGCTGAGCTGGTAGAGGACTCTGAACTATTTATGTACCACCACTTTTAACCACTGGGAGCCACGTTGCAGAACTTCTTCCCTGCACATGCACTGCCCCAGTGACAAATGTCGCGGGCACCATGAAAACAAGGGCCACAGGGCAAGGCAGTCCCTGCTGTGGTCAGAAACCAGCAAGGAGCTCACAACACGGCCACTCAGTGCCACGAGCCAAGATAAAGGTGGAGCATTTCTGAATGTGGAACTCTGTCCCACCTCTGCCACCGTTTCAGGAATCGCAAGAATCATCACTTCCCGTGCATCCTAACAGATCTTCCTAAAGTTGAAAAGTAGGTTAAATGTACTTTTTTCTAATTTTTTAAGTGTATTTAAAAGCTGGAGCCAAGTGTCCCTTCTATCAGAAGGAACACACTTAGAGAAGTTTACCAAGGGGGGCTGCTCTGGAATATTTGCCTTTATGGATGATATACTAACTATATGCACATCCAGAGATTAGTTACAATATAAGAATGCATAATCTGGAAAGCTGGACATTGGAACCAAGTGCTAGCCCTTTACAATGGGCTGGTGGCTGCTGTGAATTCAGCCACGGCCTCTGTTTGCATCTGTTTTCAGATCAGGAACATGAAGACTCCTTATTGCCTTGGCTGCATTTCTTCATGAAGAACATTCTTCCTCCATGCTAAACTCCCCACACGCCTTTTACCCAAAGGGTCCCTTACCGCTCTTTGCTATAAAGATTTTAGGCAGTATTCAGATTGCTTGTTTTCAGGGGAGTGACACGCCTGTAAGAGGCTGATGCTGCTCCTCCTCACCCCAACTGCCTTGATGCCAAAACTTCACTGTTGCCCACACGTTTGAAGTCCCTGTAGAATTATGGGTGTGGAGTTGGTGGGTTGCAAACTAATACAAGTACTGGAGGTTTGAATAAGTTGCTAAGAAACAAGACAATAAGGAGGAAGAAAACACAGAGCAGTTTACACCTGAAAGAGAAAAAAAATTAGAAACCAAGTACCTTGAATGGGGATTTCATTTGGGGAACGGCCATTCTGCCGACACTTAGCACAAAGTGAGCACAGGTTCCCCCTCCCCCCCCCAAGCCTAGTTTTGCAATGCAGACATGTCATTTCATCACTTTAATTTGACACAGGTGTCAGAGCAGAAGAGGTTTTCTCCACATGAGAACAATCCCTTGCTCTGAGCACTTACACTCATGGGCGCTGTTTGTCTGCATGCATGGTGGCCACATGGGTTGTAGATACTGGCTGCAGAAAGGAGCCAGTTCAAATGAGAACCCCATCCCTCTACCCTCCACGTGTCCACACCACACCTGCAGAGGTGCAGGGACCCAGAAACGCAGCAGAGGAAAGACAAGGACATGTCAATTATGTTCTGTGATGAACCTTGGAGCATCTGATTTACCCAAACCCCTGGCAGTTGTTCAATCAGGCCTTAAGCGTGAAGGGGGCCAAAGCTGGCATCCCTCTGGTATGCAAGAAACACACTTCACTGGATTTCCCTCAAAAATTCAGTTGTTCTCAGCAGCCTTTTAAGACTGTCAATGACGTTTAAATAAGAGGCAAGAGACCAGATACGTCAACTTCTTCCCCCCAAGTTTCTCTAGATGCATTTTACTGCAGGGCCTGCAATGCATCAATTCAGCGAACTGGGGTTCTGGAGTTCCTAAAAAGCTTCAGGGGCTGGGTAGTGGTAAGTACACTAATGGATTTTTAATGAGCAGGTACTACCGGGATTTAGCACTCATTTTGGGAGGTGCAACTTAACCATTTCAATGACTTATAAATGGTTATTCCCAAATCACTTCCTGTTGAGCCCAATTACCTTCCACAATGTATGTTCTTATCACTGGGTCCCCCTGATTGGAGGGTCATAAATCAGGCCAGCGGCTTCAAGTCAAAACCCTGTGAGCACAGCACTGGTACGGGGATTAGAAGCCACCAATGAGAACCACGAGCCTGGAGCTGGGGCAGCAGACATCCAGTGGAACATAACCAGATATTATCCAATGGGCAGACCCACCTCTACAGAGCTCCCCACGTGGACACTGGAATGTGGACTAGATTTCAAATGTGACCGCTCATTTCCTCTTCTTCCTCTCTAGAACATGAACAGTTTGAGTTTGTAATTCCCAACAAAGACATGAATTACACCACCTTCTAAACTGACCTTCTACCATACACCCTGGACCACAGCTCTTCCGTGGTCAGCACATTTGGGAGGACCCATGTGAACGGTAACTGGGACTGCCTAAGGGTCTGGCGCGCAAGTGGCTGAAGTCCAAGGTGGTTTGATAAAAAAAAAAAACCCATATCGTCTTTCCATCTTGAATTCTGTACCAAGTTCAGTTATTACTTATTCAAGAAAGTCAGTTTTAAATAGACATGCTTATTAATATTTAATTGCCAAACTGAATGAAACTGCTCTATGTACTTCAATACCTAAGTGCTTTCACTTTGGTTAACACTTACCCTGGAATCATTCTTGAAAGTTACAGACTGTGGTGTTTCTCTAACCACACTCGGGAAAATAAACTAAAACAATACACCTAAACGCCACTTTCTCTTGGGAAGTAAAGCTTATATTTCACAGCAGGCCTTTTAGGGGGGCAGGGTGGAGACTCATTTATAAGTGATACATGCATTTGGCCCAACTTCAAAAGAACCACACTCAGTGTAGCCCCAGCGGTCTCCCTATTCTAGAAAAGCCGAGAGTCTATTTCATGGTTGGTGACCCGTGGGCCCTGAAACCACAGAAGAGCACCAGCAAATCAATCGACTCTGCCCCACACACCGCTTCTGCTCATTCCCCATCTAGGACTCTCCCAAGTGTCAAATGGGGACAGACACACCTTCTAGGTCACTTTTCCAGAGCCAGTCCAGGGAGCAAGGCTCCCTTGTTCTCATTCAAGCGGTCCTCTGACCTTACTCTCCAAAGTGAGCCTCAGCCAGGCCTGCAGCTTTTCCACATCACTAATAAGATTCCTTTTATGGTCTTGTGAAAAGCAAGGGGCTCCGGACAGATCCTCAGGAGGGTGGAACCACCTGCAGGCCCCTTCCCCCTAAACTCCAAACACAAGTTCAAGGGCGGTCAGTATTCACAGTTAACTTGGGCACAGTCAGATTAAAAAGTGGCCAGCCTCTTTAAAATTCTCCCTAGCAGGGGATTAACAAACAAGATAAACACTCTTTGTAAAACTGAAATCCCACAACAGACGCAGCCCTCCATTCTCAGAGAACTCTACATACCACGGGTTTTTATAAGTTCCTTTTAATGGCATGTTTCCGATAACTGTCTTATCTCACTCATGGCAGAGGGCACTTTATAATGCCAGCTCCGGTAAATGCGGGCCTTGAGAGCCACCCCAAGATACACACACACACACACACCCACACCCACCCACCCACCCAGGCACTCTCCTCCTTCCTCCCCTCCCGGCGATGCGAATCACAGCCCCAGCCCGCGGATAGGAGGCAGCAGAGTGCACCCCATCAGAGCACGTGGCGGAGAGTATTCCCCTGGGCACCAAGCTTCCCCCTCCCCCCTCAACGCCCACCCTCGCAGCACGGGCTGGGCCAAGCCCCAGTCCTGGCGACGAGCCACGCACGCCTCCTGGACAGCGGGAGCGGAGCAGAGGGCACCAGCATTTTCCCCTTTCCTCCCCTTCTGCAATCACGCTCATCTTCCTTCTACCCAGTTTGGGATGTTGCAAGGGCCTCGTTGCAGGGTCGGTCAGCGGGGCCCGGGGCCTCAAGCGGCACCCGGGGCGGGGGTCCACGCACTTGGGACTCTCAGCAGCCACCTCTAGTGGGCCGCCCCTTCCAGGCCTTGACACGCCCCCGGAGGCTAGCGGGGGCCGGGGGCCCGCCGGACGAGGGCGCACCCCCGCCCTTCCCGGGGAAGTTTGCAAACACAGCTGGTTCCACAGCCCGGGAACCGCTGGAAGTGAGGCCACAAGGGCTACACCGCGCGGGGGCGAGGGCAGGAAGGGGCCGGCAGGGGGCGGAGGCTCTCAGGCTTCCAGCTCCAGCCATAGCCCAGAGACACCCCCCCACACACACACACCCCAAGCGGCGGCCGCCCCCGCGCCCTCCCATCCAGCCCGGAGCGCGTCCCCGCACGCCCCAAAGTCTCCCGGAGAGCAGCGGGAAACAGGCCCCCCCACACCCTCCAGGAAGGACACACCCGCCCTCCAGGCCGCTCACGAGAAAGGGGAGGGTGCCGATTTGGACCGCGTTCGAAGGCCAAAACTGCGCCGCGTCGCTTTCCACGGCGCATCAGGTTTAATCGGTTAAGCAAAGATCGTCTATAAGAACTCCCAGCTCGGGGATTGGGGGGAGGGGTCACTCTAGGGCCTTCAAATTGCAAGTTTAAACCGGCCTTCCTGGGAGCTTTGCCCCACAAACCCCTAGGGGCTCCCCACTTTTGAGCGCTTAGCAAAAAGCCTCGAAGACGGGGCCTGCTGAGATCTAACTATAGAGTCTCGGCTGCTTAACACCCCACCCCGCAAGACTTTTCCAGTTAGCGTGGAGTTTCAAGCCAAGGCCCTTTAAATCCCTCTCGCAAGAGAGAGCGGGGCTCGGCAGGCGCGGGTGCGGACCTCGGCGGGTTCCCCTCACCGCGCCGCTCACTCACCGGCCAGGCGAAACTGAAAGGCAGCACGATGCGGTTGCGTTCGTTGCCACGACTGGCCTTGAGATTGAAGGTGTTGCCCCCGATGACAGGAGTGGATCCCGAGCCGAAGCTGCAGGGCCCCCCGGCCGTGACGCGGGACTGGTACTCCTTGAGGCACACTTTGAAGTACGTGTCACACTCGTCGTGGGAGCACTTGCGGTCCCCCGGGTTCCGGACGCCGCCGCAGCAGTTCCCGTTCTGCAGCTCCCCGTTCACGTTCTGCATAGACAGGATCTCCAACTCGAACTGGCCGGAGGCCCCGCACACCTGCCGGCGAGGGAGGGAGGGAGGGAGGGAGGGAGGTCAGCGCAGGGGAAAGTTGTTTTCTTCGAGGGTGGAAGCAACGACTCCCTCCCCGCCCGCCCCGACGAGCCCTCAGCGCCAAGTGAAAATTTTGCAAAACCGAGTGCAAAGACTCAACGTGATTTCCCGGGCAAAAAAATGCACGAGCGCAGGAGAAATCCGACGACTGCCCCCGGGGTGAGCAGCGGAGAAAACGCAGCCCCCTGCCCCACCTGGAGGGTACATTTAGGAGGTTCGGGACTTCTCAAGCCCAGGGGCAGCCTCTCGGGCGCAGGACCCGGCCGGGGAGCCGGGCGCCCGAGGGCTCCTGAGCCCGCTCCAGACGCTCAACCGCAGGCGTCCAGGGAGCTGAGAGGGAAAGGAGAGGGCGGGCCGGGTGGGAGGCCCGGCGGTCTCCTACCTTGGCTCTCAGGGCGCAGAGCAGCGCAAGCAGGAGGCTCAGGGGGCGCCCGGGCCGGCCGCGCGTCCGTGGGGACCGCATAGCTGCGCCGCGCGCCGCGGGCACTCGGGACGCCGCCGCCGCCGCTGCTGCTCGCGCTGGTGCTCCGGCCGGTGCTGCCGTCGCCGCTGCCCCTGCGGCCGCCGCGTCCCGGCTCTAATATACTCCGCCGATTGGAGCATGCACGACTGGAAAACAACACCACTTTTCAAAAGCCCTTTCAAGAGCGGCGCGTTCCAGAAGGCAAAGGGCCCGGCCTCCTTTTATTATTCTGATCGCTTCTTTGAGGCGCTCCCCCTCCTCTTCCACCTCCCGGCTTTCTTTCCTTCTCTCGCGCTCCCCTTCTTTTATTATTATGATTATGCGCAGCCTTTTATTCCCTTTCAGATCAGCTGCTTAAAAAGAAGAGAGGGAGGGGAAGAAAAAAAAAAAAAAGAGCCCAGCTCGCGGGCCGGCTGCAGGTAACACAATGACGCGTGCCCGCCCGGCTCTCGGAGAGGGACTCGGAGAGCCCGTCTGGGAGCAGCGGCCCGGGCTGGCCACCTCTACCCAGCGCGCCCGCCAGGCGCATGCGCGCTTATTAATATTCATGAGGAGGCGTGTCGCCTGAAGACACGCCCCTTCCCTCTGGTTGATGGGGAGGGGGAGGACTGGGAGGAACTTGGAAGGGGCTGGGGGCTCAGGGACTCGCGATACAGCGTAGACGTCCCGGGGCCCAGCGCGGACCCCTGCCCTCGGGAGCTTTGGCCCAGGCGGGAAGGGGGGTAGAGTGTGGCGAGGAACTTGCTAGGGTCCGTTGCTCAGGGACGCGCGGCGCCTCATTGCTGCCCGGGAGCCCCCTCGGACGCCTCGGGCCGGGCGCCTGTGCCCGCCCGTCGGGGCCCCAGGTGTAGGCGCCGCGGCGCTGCCTGAGCGGTCGGAGCCGGGCAGCTTCCGCCTTCCGAGCCGCCTGCGTCAACTGCGGCTTTCGCCCCAGGAGGAGGGCCTGCCCGCCGGGAGCCCGGCCCGCTTTCCCGCGAGCGAGCGAGCCGCCCAGAGCGCGCTGCTGGCAGCGGTAGCGGCAGAGGCGGCGGCGGTGGCGGCGAGGCTGGCGTGCTTGCCGCCGTCTGCTCGCCCGGCGGAGGCGACCTGGGCAGGCGCTGCTGGGAACTTTGAAAAACTTTCCCGGAGCCAGGCTTGCCGCAGATTCGAGGGGAAGCGTCGGCCGCGCCCCATCCCCTCCCCGATCCGAGTCTGCGAAGTCTCGGAGGGCTCCCAGCGTCAGGGTCCAGCGTCTTTTCCAAACCGTGCCAAGGCAGGGTCTAGGGGAAACCGGGAAGGGGAGGGCGGCGGACACACCGGGGTCTGCTCAGGTTTGGGGAGGGGCTGAGCGATATGCTGATGGGCTTGGGCTCCCACTGTCCTGGTCTCGCTGCCCAGGCCGCAGTGCCGGGATTGCACCTGTAGGCGGCCTCCGAGCAGCAGTCTGGGTGGCAAGAGAGGAGCCTGGAACGGACCGTCTCCCCGCCATCGCCCTGCAGCCGAACGTGGCTTTCTGGTGTGGCAGTGGAAACCGATGCTATTTTCCACCTTGAGGCGAGCCTCGCAGTTTACAGCGACACTCCTGGTCATAACCAAGGTCAAAGGAAACCTGCGGGCTGGCCAAAGCCTCTGCCAGCCCCTCTCACAGCAGACATGCTGCTGCGTTTGAGGGGACCTCTTGATTTCCCCTGAGGGGTGACAAAGTTTTGGCCCTCATATTGGGCATGTTCTGCGGAAAAGTGCGACTATTCAGGGGCAGGATCGTGGCTTGACCCCTCTGGGACTGTGGGGCATAATGGGCTGCAATGGGTCAAAGGAAAATAGTTTCCAATATACTGAGTTATGAGTGCATAGAAGGTTGGGCACATTATGGTTATTTACTGCATTTAGTGACAATATTTTCGGTGCCAGATCTCAGCACTCTGGGGAATAAGGCAGCCAGCTGACCTCTTTACATTTGTTCAAAGCCAACAAGGGTGGTTCAGCAATCTTGGCGTTTTAACAGCTCAGGAAATACTCCTAAGAAAGGTACCTTCTTAGTGGCAATGTGTCCCATCTTGACCATCATTGGTGAGATGATCTGTGGCACAGGCAGCAGCAACCTGAGCATTATGTCTTAATGTGCCCCAGTCCCTGCAATTATCCTAAATGCAAGGCACCAGTTGTCAACTGTAAGTGCATCTAGACTTTTCTCAAAGTTTCCAAACCAATCTCCTCTCCCTCCTATCTGCCTCCTTCTCCCTTGTCCTCCCAAATGTCCATGGGGGTGCTAAGTAATGGTTTAAAAGCAAAATGCTTGTGCTGGGGACGGGGGAAACACAATTCGTGAAGGCTGATGAGGTCTTCAATTGCACACTCCTTGGAGTTCCCCATGTCTGAACGTGTTCTAATTCTGTGCCCTGTGGCTGATCCCCCACACACTGCTCAGGAAGGAGGCTGAGGCCTTGAGTTGAAGAGTTTAGATCCAGCCACCTGGGTTAACCCGAAATGGCCGCCTGAGATTTCAGGTGCCTCCAGGTAGTAATCTGGCCTGCATGTAAGCTGGGGTCAGCTCCGGGCCACAGTTGAGTTTAGCCCCCTTGATTCGTTTTTTTTTTTCTTCTTCTTAAGAAAGAGAATGTAGATTTCTGGGGGTTGAAACTCTCCAATGAACCCTGACAGGTATGTGAAATCACTAATAAACACAAAATTCATATGTCAAAAACGACAGTGTCCCTCACCCTTCCTAAGCTTGGGAACCCACTTTTAGAGAAGACAGTTGTGGGCTAGAGGGGATTCTTCTGAAAATTTTCAGTTGGGACTCTTCCAGCTAATTGGTACTCCCCCAAAAAGCCAGTCACGTTTACCGCAACAGACACCAACTGGAAGCTCTGCCCTCTACTTCCTTGCTGCTGGCTCTCAGCCTCGCTGTCTGTAGAAGGGGGAACTTCTTCGGAAAGAACTCGAGCACGCAGATTCCCCCTTGGCCAAGTCACATCCTACTTTGGGTACAGCAAGTGAACATTCCAGAAAAAAACGTTCCTGTGGAAAGTGCCCTGTTTAGCCATCACACCTACAACTGTGAGAAGGGGAAAGGTTTGTGGTCAGTTCCTGTCTGACCCGTCTCATGTGCTCCAATCATAGCCATCCTTTGGTATCTTTCTTTAATTTTAAAGATGTACTTATTTTAGAGAGCAGAGGGGAGGAGTAGAGGGAGAAAGAATCTGAAGCAGACTCCCCACTGAGAGCAGAGCCCCACATGGGGTTCGATCTCACGACTCTTGAGATCATGACCTGAGCCAAAATCAAGAGTCAGATGCTCAACCAACTGAGCCACCCAGGTGCCCCATTTTCTTTAATTTTAAAAAGATGCCTTATTTTACTTCTTCCACAAAACTTGCCCTGTTTTACTGAGTCATCCACAAACAGCAGTCTTGAACACCGCTCCCCCCCACCAAAGGCTTAATAAGAGACATTCAAGCTATAATAACTGAATGTAAATACATTTGGTCAACTTGAATCCCTCAGCACTATGATAAAAATCAGCAAATCAATATTTATTGAGAACTATATTACACCTAGCAACATGGATCTCAAAAACATCCTACTGAATGAAAGAAGCCCGACACAGAAGACTACATACTGTATGAAACTGTTTATATGAAGTACTAGGGCAGGCAAAACTAATTTGCAGTAAAAGAAAATGTCGATGGAAGGATGGAGATGAACTGGGATCATCTTGAGGCTTCTTCCAGGGTAGGGATAATGTTCTGTGTCATGATAAGTGTTTGGGCTACACAGGTGTATGCATTTGTCAAAATCCTTTAGTGCACTTAAGATCGGTGCATCTCATGTGTTCAAAAGAGACAAAATCGTAATCAACTTGAGTTAATTATATGGGTGCTGAAGTATATAGAAGGAAGTTAAATGATATTTGCAGCTTGGAAATGCATTTAAAAATGAGATTATGGGGGTGCCTGGGTGGCTCAGTCGGTTAAGCATCTGCCTTTGGCTCAGGTCATAATCCCAGGATCCTGGGATCGAGTCCCTCCTCCCTCTTATGCTCTCTCTCTCACTCTCTCAAACAAATAAAATCTTAAAAAAAAAAAGACTGTTTCTTGGTTTAAAAAAATAATAAAAATGAGATGATGGAGAGAAACTGGCTGGATGGATATATGCTGGAGCAAAATAGTGAAGGGTTAAGGATAGGATCTAGAGGGGACATATGGTGTTCACATACAATTCTATGAAATGTCTCTGCCTGAAATTTTTCACTATAAGATGTTGAGGAAAATCGTTACCTGAATATGCCAGGTATTGTGTAGGGTGCCAAGAGTACAGTGGATGACACCAGAACAGTGGACTTAAAGATTACAGAGTGGAGGGCATTCCTGTAAGGGATGATGATAGCGTAGATTGTTGTAATGAACAAAAGGGAGGTCCTTATTTCCCCCCCATTCCTTGTCTCCCTAATACCTTTCTTCTTTCCAACAAATAAGAGAGGAAGGTCCAAATATATAAAGGGACCTGTAAAAAAGTCGTTTAATATCTTCCTTTTTCTTGTTTGCACCTTGCAGAGAAGTTAAGGCAAGTTCAGGAGCCCTCTTCTGTAGAAGAGCAGATGGTGATATCTTTCTGCTCCTTTCCAGCAGAACCAAAGGATGCTTATGTCCTACAAGCTCTTCTTTCCTTCTACCATGGTACCACCTCAGAAAATGCAAACCCCTGTAAACTCTGCCCAGCCAGCCCTCCGAGGAAGCACGGCCTCTGAGCAGACAACCACCTTCATGGATGATTCTCCTTCTTCCACATCACAAGCAGTTCCGAGAAAAACCTATGGGCAGCATATAAGACGTTAAAAAATTCAGGATAAAGTTATAGCTCCCACGGCAACCATAACCAGGCCACAAGTTTATCCATTTAAGCATAAACTGAGTAGATCCAGCCCTCTTTCTTCAAAGCTTCATTTTACATCCACAAGAGAGCTGAATTAATTTTCTTTGGAAACCAGAACTACGAATTTCTTGCATTATTAACAGATGACCTTTCGTTTAAAACATTGTTTTGGTTTGGCCTTGAGCTCAGGTATTTATAATTTTGCCTGTCCTGCCCCGATGCCGTCTCGCA